CAATGTTTTCATTTGCCTTTTTTTATGTGATTCACATTCAAACGATTTAGACTTTTTTCATTCATTTTTTTTTTTCATTTTTTTTCATTTGTTTTGTTGTGCTTTTTTTTCTATTTTTAATCTGCATTGTGTTTTATGGTCTGACGCTTTGACGTCTTAACTGATCTATCTGTATATTTTCCTTTTCTAAATTTTCTATTTTTTCCATGCACTAAATTTTAGACACAGAACAAACAACATTTTTGCCACACTTCATATTGAATATCCTCCTTAAAGGAATTTTAGATTCTCTTCTCATGATTCAAATCTCTCATGTTTCCTTTCAATTAACCAAGTCCAACAGATCATAAGTTTTCAAGCATTCAATTTTAATTGTATATTAATTTGTATATTTAAACTTTTATTTGTATTTGTTTCAGAAATGCAAATTACAAGATAGTTTCATAACACGAATGAGGCTTGAAATGTTCTTGGCTTGGTTAACTTCACAAATACCGAGCAAACACCAAATTTGTTTTTGGAAATTACTTGTTTCTTTCCGGAAACTTTTCAGCATACCCTCGTATTTTCTTTAATATTGACCGATTTTATAATTTTCTCTACTTTATCTGATAAAAAAGCCATTAATTTAAATAATCTATACGAAGTAAATATTGTAATTACAAGGATGTTCCATATTGCTTTGCAATTTATTCCTAAACAGAGTAATTGTGATGGACTGTAAAGGTTATCTGTGACTGAGCTGTCTAAAAGCACGCCGGGTTATACAGTGGGTTCTCCTATAAGAGTCTGACACAAATTCGAATACTGATTAATAATAATAATAATATAAATTATATATATATATATATATATATATATGTGTGTGTGTGTGTGTGAAAGTAATGCCGATTATTTATTTCCACGGAAAGGCAGATACGGATGAGAAAAAATTTAGAAATTTATAGAGAAAGTTTTCAACAACGCATTGTTTTCACTTTTTCACAGCAACGAAGACGACGTTTTCAGAAAATATTATCCAATTAGTCCCTCAGAAGAAATCAAATATAAGCCGTTACTTACCGAACGTTCTTCGTGTGTGTACGTATACACACGCACATACATACATACATACATATACACACACAAACGCACGCAGGCACACATACACACGTGCGCACTCGCACACATATATGCTGAGTAATTGAATGACAAAAAGAAAATATTCTATGTAACACGTTTCGTTCTCTAAAAGAACTTCATCAAACTAAAGTAAATCTCTTAACTTTTAAATAATCTGTTCATATATCAAATTTACGTTCTAATCAAGAGCAAAATTGTTCAAATATCTTAATTTTTCATAATCGTTTCAATATAGAGGCCTTTTTTTATTTGTAATTGTTGAAAGTTTTTTATATATATATATATATATATATATATATATATATATATATATATATATATATATATATAAATATATATATATAATATTATCTCATAAAAAATATTACATGTATTGAAGTACTGAGTTTTTGTTTTTATTAATTCACCTATTTAAAGAAAAAGGTTTAAATTAAATGAAAAACATTTTTCTTGCGTAAGTAATCTTTAGTAAAATGATTCTTTTATACTTCACGAAACAACTTATTTCAAAGAAGTTTTAAATATTTCATTTGGAATATGTTTTTCAATCAATAAATTAATTTCATTTCAAAGAATCAATGAAACAACAGAAATTAGAATGTGTGGAGCAACGTAGACAGTTTTCAGAATATTTCAAATTCGCGAGAAATATATTTCTTGTTCACTGAAATAAAAATTTCCACTAAGTATTAACGACTGAATATACTAGATAAAGAGAATTGTTTGATTGGCGTGTTTGTTTTACAGTTTGTACTATTAAAGTTTTGATCGAATTTCCATGTAGCATTTTACACTTTTCTAATTATGCTCTGCCGCTACCGCTGTGAACTATTGAATCTTTGTATGTTTCCCAGACTGAAACTGACGTAAATCTATTTTATGACGCAAATGCTCAAATATAAGAGATCAATAGACGTTGTTAAATTCACTTGACAAATGCAATAACATGTTTTATATCAGCTCGTTTTTGACTGAATACGCTAATTGTTGAATGAGGATATCTTCAGAAAATTCCTTTTCTGAATCTCATCTCAATCCAATATTTATTGGAGACACGAGTATTGATTTTTGCGTTAAGATTTGATTCATTTCGATCAGTGGAAGTAGATTTTCTTTATTTAGGTTAAGGGACTCAGATTAGTGGAAGGGAGCGAATGATGAACAACTAATTTGCGTTTGTGAAAAGTATTAATGAAGATTTAGGTAGTGATAGGTTAGTGAAATAATTCACCAGATGGAATTTTACAAACCAATGAAGTAAATTTGATTAAACAGATATAGAGATTGTTATATATTCAAAGGTATGCATACAAATATCCAGATTTGTATATTATTTTGGTTTGCGCAAATTATTAATTTGTGAAAATACACACGCATATGCTTAAATATGATTTTTCATATACTTTGCTGTTGTCAAACATATGTTTTGTTTAGATATAAACATTTCATTAGATATATGTATTCACATATATATAATTAGATTTGTACATACGAAGTCCGAAGCATCATGATAAAAATCATTTATTTTACACAACAAATATTTATTTTTTCCACAATAAGATTTCTCGACAATGCACTTACGCCAATGCATCTCCATTAATCAAATGGATCGAACTTTATACAGTCAAAACATTTTAGATCAAAATTTAACTACGTGTTATATAATTAGACAACTAAATGGTAATTTACTTATATATATATATATATATATGTGTGTGTATAGAGAGAGATAGGAGACAGAGATAAAGAGAGCAATTGATATTGAGAAAATGTGTGTGATAGATAGATAGATAGATAGATAGATAGATAGAAAGTGTGCGTGAGAGAGAGAGAGAGAGAGAGAGATTATGCTGTTTCCATATATGTTTTGAGAGTGTGGTGCTATTTGTATATTTTTATTGTTAAATGGTGTTTTGTGCGGATTTAGAATGGCTAGTCGAACATGTTTGCATATATCTACTTAAGCCTTGTTCATGCACAACCAATACATGTACCAGTGTAAAACATGAGGTAGGTGACATTTATTTTATGTTTAAGCAATAAGTAACAGTTATCCACTGTGAGAAACTTATGCCATGGAATTTATTGAATCCTGAACTTTTGAAAACTCTTAAACATGGGCGTGTCAGAATTAATTCTGATAATAATTTTACTTATTTCAACTACACTCCTACATATTCAGTGTATTCAAAAAGTTCCCAGAACACTTATTTTTAAATTAGAGATTGAATATACACAAAACTATTTACTTTTTAAATACAAATCGATGGAAAGCTTTACAAACAGCTAAAATATGCGTTCATATAAAACTACGTTTGCAATGTGCGAAGATCTGACGTAACTCTACCCTGAAAAGAAGAAGTGCCATCTATAATGCAAACTTAGTAAGATTCTGTAGTATAAAAACGAGAAAAGAAATATGATTTCTCGTGTTATTTTATTATTTCAAATCTGTAATATCCGTAATAATTTTGTATGCAACGTCTCCTCTCAGGCATGTATTTGTTTGAGTTGTTTTCTAATTGCAATTGACATACGTTCACTTGCAGATGTACATAATCTTATAGGTAATGTAGTTTATGTAACCATTTAATCAAATATGCCTCTACCTTTAGATACGTACATAAAATATTTGACGATATAAATCACCTGAATCGAAAGTATTCCTCTAGATTTTTTTATTTTTCCATCTTCATTTCTATTTGTATATAAATTATTTTACATGTATATAAGGCATAAATACAAATCATTTTATCTGAACACTAATCCATACAAAATTTACCAAATACCAAGCATGGATTTATCTATACATACACTACATATTGATAAATCTCAAATACCTACTGTGTCGACACGGTCATGTCAGGATTTCAATATCTTGAGCCAAAACAGCTGTCGCACAAATGCGCGTGCGCAAACACACACACACACACACACACACACACACACACACACACACACACACACACACGTGCACACATACATATGCGCGCGCGCACACAAACGTGTGCACACACAGTACAATCACACACTTAACGTGTCATAAGCGCACATATACTAAACAATTACATCTCTTCAATTAGACATTAATAAAACCATATATACTCACGCGTTTATAATGTTAGAATTATACACATGTATGTAGGTATGAGCGTACACACAATTATACGTATTTACATGGTGCAGACATAAAATCTTATTAAGTGTTACCACATTTTTTACACATAATATCCATTAATAAATAGATGCACACTCAAGTATTTTTGTATGTAGGCATAAATAAGACACGCAAGTTAGTACTTGTCTATTTACGTGCATAGAGGAAAGCTGCCATGTTTTGCACGTTCGTTTCTGTTCTGTATATATATATATATATATATATATATATATATATACACGCATTTGTAAAGAGAATTGACAGAAAGTTTATTCACCGTTTCCATCAGCTAACATACAGTCACTTATTTGTAGTTTTATTACACAAATGACTGCATACCGACGTAGATATGTTGTACTCGTGTGATATGAAAATCCGCCCACACGACGTTCACCTGACGGTAACAAACGCGCGCGCAGAGACGCATGCTGGTGTGCGCATCACAAAGCTGCGAGCTCCCTCTGCTTGCTGACTTTGTTTATTGATTACTAAACTTGTAAAAGGCCAGATCGTGTTGGCAGTGTCACGTGTTGTACTACTACATTCGCTTAATATTCCTTACAAGGCGTTTCTCACTCTTTTCTCTCCTTTGTTTGACACAGCTATTTTATTGCAATCACTTCACGCTTGCTTCTATGATCTGTGTTCTCAGTGCTTTCATTAGTTTCTCCTCTCATTTTATTTTCTTCCTTTCTAAAATCTCTTGACTAATTTTCATAAGTGTCCATAGCAGACTTTATTCTGTTTTTCTGTCTTTCTCTCTGTCAGATTTTCTCTTTCTCATATTCTATCATTATAAATCAATGGCCTGACCTTCTCAAATACATTGAAGGTATCATATTGTCTTTCCGATTTGAGTAATACGATTGAATATGTGACTCACCGGATATTGATTAAAAAATAGGCTTGCTAATCACTCAGGGAAACTTTTCCTATATGATTCTCTCTATATATAGGTCTTCCGTCTCTATCTCCCTCTTCTCTCTCTCTCTATCTCCCATTAGAAATCTTATTTTTCTCTTTCTCATTCCCTATCAGCTTTCTTTTCCCCTTTTTTCTCTCTTTGCCCTTTTCTTTTTTTTTTTTTTTTTGCTTTTTCTCTCTCTCTCAAGTTATTTTATTTTCCTTTGTCGCCATCAGAAAAAGCATTATCTGACTTCACTTTTCACTACTTGACACCTCCTCTCCTACACAGTGTATCCCCGGATCTTTCTCGTTCATTCTTCTATCCTTTCTCCAGATATACTAAACTGTTTTCCTCTATTTCAAAATTACCTTCACCAAGATTTAGATTTTGCTAAAATCTTCTGCATGTCCACATTTTTATTGCTAATTTGATAAAATGAGAAACGGAGAGAAACAGAAAGAGAGAGACAGAGAGACAGAGACACAGAGAGACAGAGACACAGAGAGAGAGACAGAGACAGAGACAGAGAGACAGAGACAGAGAGACAGAGACACAGAGAGAGAGACAGAGACAGAGACAGAGAGACAGAGACACAGAGAGAGAGACAGAGAGAAAGAAATGACAGAAGAGAAAGGAGAAAATTTTAAATAGCTCCTGTTGATTGCTTCTAAAATGTAACTAGTAATTCCCACATCTATGCTATTTAATGAAGATGGAAATCTGATCTAACGTGCGCTGCGATTGGAGCTGCGATCGGAATAGGGTTGAATTGTTACTTTGACGAATTCCACCTGTTTTTTTTTTTTTTTTTTTATACGATGAGGATCGAGTAAATTGGAATTAAATATTCACACATGTATTATTAACGTGTATTAAAGATGATTCTTTCATCTTCTATTTTAACTTTCTGACAAAAAGAAAAATACTTGACAACTTTTTACGCAAATATAAAAACTATTTTTCTTTCTTATTTTTTCCCATATCAGTTTTTCACCAGTTGCCTTTAAAAGAATTATTAAGGTTCCGTGATAGCATTTTGAAATTTAGCCTGACTACAAACGGAAGAAGACGTCTCCGATTGCCCCGTTGTCTCGACCAACAAGAGGAAGTCGTCGCACTAGGTGATTTAATAGCACGTGGCCCGTGTCGAGTTTGCGCGTGCTACAAACATCGACTGCTGCTACATTTATTCCCCATTCTGCTTGAATCTTTACTAGTGCCGCTTCTGGGACTCACCGTTGCTATATCAGACAACATCCAAAGGATTAGATATGACTAGCTGCCTGCTTGACTATTTCACTATATCTATCCAATGTCTATATTTTGAATGTGAAACACCTAGCCTCTCACGAGCAGCGAGTCGTTAAGACCAGGTTTGCTAAGAAAAATATTTCAACCAGTATTATTTATGGAAAAAATATGTCCACAAGAGCAGGTGTTGAAATATTAGACTGGTTGCATTTTGTCGCAACTTATTAAATAAATTGATTTTGTAATTTTGTGAATGTTAATACATTTCCTTGTAAATATGACTTATAAAAAATCAAGTTTTGCTGTTAAAAAGCTTTCTTTTATAAGGTGAAAATTCAAAGTTATTAATCATAAATTATTTAAAGGAAAAATTAACTCAGAAATTTCAGTCTTGTTAAAATGCAGCATGCAATTTGCTAGGAAGATCTAAAACTAAATATTAATATGTAATTTAAAAGATCTGAAAAACAAACTAAATTTAATTTTTTTCAATAAAATATTCATTAACTTTCAAAAATATTCTTTTTCATAAGCGACTTTATAATGAGATGTGTTTAATTAGCGTCTGTCTAAAAATTGCCCTATTTTTATGAAACAGGAAAAACGAGATTTAACATATAATTCATTAATATCCTATTTTGCTTTACACAACGATTGTTTTTTATTTATTTATTTTTTAGTTTTGGAGTGTTAATGCTCTTCTTTAATCTCATGTCTGAGAAAGACGCACATTCTATTAACCGGAGTTAAATTCATCTGCTGCTTCCATGATAAAACTATTAATTAAAGGATTACTACTTGTGTTTCTTAATAATTCTTGAATTAAATTTCATATAATCGTTTATATAAAACAGAAAATACTTGGATTTTTGGAAGGTATAGCGTAAATAATCTTAAATTGTATATTTGTAAAGGGATTGTACGTTCAGAAAATGAACGGTTGAAATGACCATGTTTTTGATCAACTGTAAATAAAGACAAGCAAATTAATTCTTAATGATGCTAGAAATATTGCTTGCTTCATATTAACGTTAAAAATATGTCACGGATTGTTGGCTTTCGTTACTTGCCTCATTATTATGCAAATCAGATTTTATCACTTAAAATATCGGTTTACTGAAAGCTAAGATATTAATTTTATTTTATTAAATAAAAATTATTTTCATTCATTTCATATCATAATACACATTTGTCGTTTCATTTGGGTCAATTATTAGATATCTGGATTAAATGAAACATTTCCTTATATTTTGATATATTAACTTTTTCGTCTTCAGTACAATATTCAAATGACATAAAATATAACAAATGGTCAATAGCTTTAAGATTTCTACAAGTAAATAAGTAAATGGTTAGCTGCTGCTTTTCGTGTATGACCGTTAATATGCCTAGCTAATCCCTGTTGATGGAGCCTGGTTGCCCACGTTTGTTTCTTCAACACTCACGGAGCCAAACTGCAACTATCTGAAGGAAACCTTGCTACAGTTTCTGAGGAGAGAGTGATCTGGCATGATCTGTAAATTTGAACAAGTCTAGTACGACCAGAAGCTCAGTCACAAGGACTTGTTCCGTCTACCCTTGGTTTGGCTTAACGTGTGGGATGATTTTGCAGTCTGTGGTTCTCTCACCAAATCGACCATGGTGACATTCTTACCTGGAATTCATGGTTAGAATTCTGACATTCTAACCAATGGGCCACAAGCGTAATGCAGATAAAAGCAATGCAAAGAATATCCATCCTTAAATTTGTACTGAGTGATAATTGTTTCCACCGATTATATTTGATAACGTCTATTGTTTATGACGTGCATTGATTTTGTGTACTTTCATGATTGTACATATGTTTACATTACTTTGAAGTACTCGAAATTAACAATAGCCGAAATTGTTACTTCATAGTAACAAGATTGTTTGGTATCCAAGTTCTAATCAGATAAAAACCTATAAATAACTAAGATAAACTACGATAAGAAAATCCTTCTTCGGATATGATTTATACCCTCGACATTTAGATGTTGAAATTTCATCGTATCTGTTATCCGATGAAATACGATGTAATATATATAACATCTTACAGTTGATGTGAACAAGCAACTTGTCTGCAGACTTACAAGTTTCGGACAGTTGATATACCAACACCCAGAATAAATGTTATACACTGCACTGTGATGTTTCTAAAGAAATCAACGATGACAGCAACTAGATTTCAGTCAATGGTTAAACAATCATTCAGCCAGAGCACTTCAAATATATTGGCAAGATTGACTATAAAAATACAGTTAAACAATGACCACGATATAGAAATCTTTCCTTTATTTCACAATTATTTACAAATCAGAGGATGGAGAAGAAACGTATATACATATTTTCTTTTTCAATATCATATTTCAGTCTTAAAAATGTATATGTCACATATGATCCAGTGCCCCTGCTATTTACTTTGAGCTCTTTGGTAAAATCCAAAGAAGAATCAGCAATATTATCGGTCCTGATCTGGCGTCTCGGCTTCAGTTACTTACCCAACATCATAAGGTTGCCTCTCTGTGTCTTTTCTCTAAATACTTTCATAAACACTTCGCGATGGTACCTAGACTTTTTGAATTTAAGTAATAGACTGGCGATAAGTAGCCGTAAGTTCTATGCTAACATTTTATTTTCTCGCACTTCTCGCTTGTACAACAAAATATTCTTTCGAAAAGTTCTTTATACTTAAGGATATCAGTGTGTGCATGTGATTTGTTTAACGAAGCTAAAGTAGACTTCAATATTTATGTTGTTTGTTGTCATATAAAAAGTGCGACATTGCATTGGACTAGCGAAAGAAGCACTCCAAAAACTAAGCAAGGTGCTGAGAAACGGAAATGAGGGATGAGGAGAAAAATAAAGACATAAGAAATGTGGTTTAACAGAAGGATACTGAAAATTTTAAGGGCAGAGCAAATAAGCATCAAGGAAGTCTTAAAGAAAATGGCAACAGAAAGAACGCTTAACTCAGGATCAGAAAAAGACAACTGAAATTCCTTAGACACTGAGTGAGGAAGGAGGGCTTGGTAAACTTAATCATCATGGTTTATACTGAGGACAACAGAGACAGAGAAAATTAGTAAGACATTTAACTGATGAGCCTGCGTGAATGGATGGCGGAACGGAGGAGTTAGGAACGTTAGCAAAGAGAGAAAAACTGCTAAGGGGCACAAGAAAGTTATGGAGAGCCATGATCATCTATATCCTGAAGGAACGCGGTACACAGAAGAAGAAAGTAGACTGTGATTTAAATTTTTAAATATTTTTTAAATATTATTGAAAATATTAATTTTTTTTTCTTAATTTGCAAGCATATAACGCCAAAGAATTTTTTACATGTTTACACACAAAACCACACACACAAAACCACACACACGCACATATGTGACTACGCATACACGTATGTATATATTGTTTAAATGTTGCTATATTCATAATGAAAATGTGCTCAATATATGGGATAGAAAATTTGTAGGTATAAACAGTGTAGCATAGAAATCAACACTGCATAATAATTTAAGCAACCATCATACCATGGTGTTCACGTTGTATATATCTGTTTTTTTCTATCTAATAGCGGGTGCAGAAAAGTCTCATGCTGACCCACTTTCCAAAATAGGTGTTTTAGTGACTAAATATTAGTGTGAATATTTAAAGCACTAAAAGCATTAAAAGCATGTCCATGCCATTAAAAATGACAACAAAAATTTTAATTGTGAGATGGAATGAGACAAATGTCTTAAAACAATGTATTGAGATTCAATAAAGCGGAGATAAAGAGTTCACAACTAAAATAGAAGCCAATGAACCGTTTAAATGATCTGTTTCATTTATATTTTTAGACGTTCAATGGTAACAATGATTCATTGATTACTCCCGGTATTATAGAAATCACTGTTTGCGCAGTATCTTTTTATATTAAAAATTTTAACTGTTTAATATAACAGTGAAATGGAAATATCGCCCTCAAGAAA